CTGCTTTGCTTATTCATTCATGCTGTTTGTTCTAAGTCATGGTTTTGCTTAGGACAAAGGTGTGAGGTTAGTAGAAAGGGAACTGCCATTTAGGAAGGCCTGTAATATGTCAGACACTCTACTTACATTTCTCGTCAAATGCTCACAGTATCCCTAGGAAGGAGTATTACAGCTCCTCTTTGACGATGAAAAAGCAGGCTGATGGGTGTGAATGAGCAGCCCAAAGCCGCATAGCGATATGTGACAGAACCCAAGAGAGCCTGTGCACGCTGCTCAACGTCAGGCTGCCTTCCCGAGTTCTCATTTCTCTGCAGTTCTTTATGGTCCTTTATGCCTTTGATAAGTGCGAAAACTTTGGCTACTTGGAGAGTTCAAGGTTGAGGATGATTTTCAAAGGACAAAGTGTGACACCACACATTTTCCAAACTCGTATTCCATTACTCCTAATTGTTCAGCATTTGTTCATCCACAGTTTGTTAAGCATCCATCATGTGCCTAGCCTTGTGCAAGCATTAGTTATCTCAAATAATTATATGAATAGGTTCAGGTTTTAGAACTCTGTCCATCTGGAGGAGATAGAGGAAGGGGGGCCTCTTTTCTGCTCTAGCCAGAGAGCAAGGGCACAGTGGCCCAGGACAGCTGGGCTAATGCACGCACATGATCTGTCCTATAAAGTATGCTTGACCTTGAGCTTTGTGGAGGCAGAAACCATGTCTGTTTTGTACCCCACACAGAGTCTGGCCAAGAGCAGGTGTTCAATGACGGTTGGATAAATGATTAAGCAATTTCCTTTACCAATCCACTAGAACATGGGCTGGTCACTTCAGTGCTCGGTGCCTTCATTTCCTCATTTGTAAATGGGGATAAAGAGAGTACCCATTTCACACGGCAGCTTTGAGATCCATGAGATAATACAATGCACACAGTTAGCACTCAATACACTGTAGTTGTCATTCCCGTTATTACTGCTGGGAGGGATGAGAGGCACATTCTTCTATGGCAAGAGTGACCTCCTGTCCCCTTTTACCTGGTGACCTGGGTTTTTATTTCTTAAAGCAGAACCGAAGGCTAGCTGGTCCAGCTACATGGAACTCACTCTGCTTTGTTGGGGAAATCTTGGTCTGAGCCCCTGAGGATGAGACGGACATAGTAACGCTGGGAGGACACATCCAGTGCCCCTACTCTGCACATCTTGGGCCAGTTGGTTCCCGCATTCCACTTTCTCTCTCCGGGGGATGTGTGTGGGGGTGTGTGGGTTATGTTTCAGAAATGTTAGTGTTTGACCTCAAAACACAAGTCCAGAGGATTGCCAGCTAGCTACTCGCCAGGCCATCCGCCTCTGAGCATGTTGTGTAGATCTGTGAGAGACCAAGGCACAGGTCTGTCCCATCAAGGAAAAGACTGTCTCCCACTGAGCCTGTCGTGTCACTGTTAAGCATGGAGAGTTCCTTGGGGCACTGGCTAGTGAGGCCCCAAGACACACCCCTCAAGCCCCAAGGGTCTGGGACAGACATGACCTGAACTCCCCAGGAATAGCCCCATGGAGAAAAGGGCTCCTCTTCAGACTGACAGCCGATTTACTAGACTGCAGCCCCGTGAGCCCCAGCTGGAACTTTGCCAATCCTGTGTCCTATTACCAGGCCCTTTGCAGCTTTTCTAGAAGACTCCTTGGATACAGCAACTCCCCAAGAGAAGATCCGGCCCTGGAGCCCCCCCGGGTAGCACTGAGATCCAGCTGCCTTTCTCTGCTGGGTATGAGCAGGCTCTCTAAAGGTAGATGGCATGCCCTACCTGGTTTGGCTCAATGGATAGAGCGTCAGCCTGTGGACTGAAGGGTCTCAGGTTCGATTCCAGCCAAAGTCACGTGCCTGGGTTGCGGGCTCGATCCCCAGTAGGGGGCATGCAGGAGGCAGCCAATCAATGATTCTCATCATTGACATTTCTATCTTTCCCTCTTCCTTCCTCTCTAAAATCAATAAAATATATTTAAAAAATAAAAAATAAAGGTAGATAGCAGCCTGCATGGGCCTGGAGCAAGTGGCTGCTGTGCACACACGGCCACCTCCTGTGTAGCATGATATTGACAGGGCTTCTTGAGCCCTTCTTCAAGGAGGGAAGGGGGACCTAGAGCCATGGCTGCATGGCCTCCAATAGGAGAATGATGGAGAGCTGGTCATTGCTTACCCTTCCCAGCACTCCAATTCAGAACCCCTTCCCCTGCTCCATTCCCCAAAGAGATGAAATCGACCCACTATTAAGCTGACTTCGTGGGCATGCAACCTGTGCAGTCACAAAGGGCCCATGCTTGGTTTTAATGTTCTGATATTGACGTCTTGAAATTCTTAATCATTTTTTAACAAGGGGGTTCCTGCATTTGCAGTTTGTGTGGGGCCTGCAAATTAGGTAGCCAGTCCTTCCCACAACCTGTGCTCATGCGATGCCTACCTCCACACCTGACAGCCTTCTTCTTCCTTTGATGTCTCTAAATCTTATCTCCCCTCATCTAAGGCAAAGTCCTGACAGAAAAAGTTCAAAAAAATCACGAAGGAGAGAGACTACAGTATCTTCAGAAGAGCTTTTCTGCTCCACTGCAGATGGAATGGTGATGATTGATCATAGACACATTAATACTCCTACCAAGCTGGATATCTTGGCTCAGTCCAAGGCTGAAGGCTGTGGTGGAGGCCTCCTGCCCCTAGTCCTGCTGTCACATTCCTTGCCGAAGTGTATGGGATGGAAGTTCATTTTATCCAGCCTTCGGAATTCATGTTCAAAGCAGGAGATGCATACAAGGTTGTAGAGACCTGAGTTGGTCACTCACATGCCCTTTTACTTGCTATGACTTCAGACAAAACCCAGTCTCAGCGCCTCAGTTTACTCTTCTGCAAAATGGGTCACCCTCCACATCATAAGGCTTTGAAATCTCAATTGCTTATCTTGCTGTGTGTTGGAACAGATCCAAGCTCTTTTTTGACACGTTGGCCAGTGAGTTTTGGAAGTGGGTGGCCATCAATTCAGGTGCATATCCTGTCTACCTTTTCCCATCCTTTGCCCAGGCCCATGAACCTGGCCATGTAACTTTGGAGGGTTTGTGACCTTTCCCATGAAGCCCATTCAGGGACCCGAGGGGAAGCAACCCTACTGTGGGTGTGGTCTCAGGACTTCTCCTGGGATTGTGACTGAGGGTAGAGAGCTGAGTTCCTGGGCCACATTGTGTTTCTTCTGCAGAGCTGTGCTTGGATGTCCCTCCCGTGGCCAGCATCATGGGCACCAGGAAAGGCAGCCTCATGAATCTTGCTGTTGTCTTTAGGACAAGGGTGTTCTCAAGGACGTTACCCTCACCATCACAGAGTGATGCCTTTGGGGAAGAAAGTGTCTAGGAGAGACTTCTCTCAGGTCTCGGTACTCAGGAGCTTCTGCAGAACGAGTCTATCACCGTGTGTACTGCGGTCCTGAGCGCTGAGCGGCTGGGATGCTCAGAGCCCGGTTTCAGGGCCTCCCTAGCAAGTAGGCAGGACCCTGGGCAGGGCAGCAGGTGGTCAGTCTCCCCTCAGCTTGGGTATTTTGCAGCCCTTCCTCCCCTTGCTTTCTCTTTGCCCCAATTCCCTTGGCTTTTTGTGTAACACTTTTTTGGGGGGGGATTGTTCTTACACACACCTCTCTCTGCTGCAGAATGAGGTGTGACAGAAATATGTGAATTCATTTTTAAAGCTATTTTAGGGAAGTTGTGAGCATTAAGAACTGAATTGCTTTGAGACTGTCACGAAGCATCACCACCAGCAAGTGGAGCTGGGGTGGTGGTGGGACGGGAAGCAGGGGCTCTGCTCTGGACCAGAGATTTTCAACCTTTTCCATCTCGTGGCACACACACACTGGTTACTGAAAGTCTGCAGCACACCCAAAAATATATGTTTTGTGCCAATCTGACAAAAAAAATCGGTGTAATTTTGATTCATTCACACTAGATGGCTGTTGTTATGTTGCTATTTTTTCATTCGACAATCTACAGGAAAGGAGGTCCGTGCCCCTGACTAAATAGTCAGGTATTGCATGTTTTAAAGATTCTTGTGGCACTCTGGTGTGCTGTGGCACGCTCCTTGAAAATCACTGCTCTAGACCAATCATCTGGCCACACACAACAACCTCCTCACCCACAGCCCCCAAATACTCATTGGCACCTGCTTATTTTTTAAATAAATGAAAGTTCATTGAACACATGTTGAAATTTGTGCAACCTCCCTTGAGATCTTGCTGGCTTGACTTAAGTCAAGAGCTGGGAGGAACTGGAACGCTGGCTGAAACCCTCATGGTATCGATCAACCAGCAGAGACTTGTTAAGGCTGCAGCAGCCCCGGGGACCTGGGGAATGGGAGGGCCCCACTTCTGGGAAGGCTGGGTGGGAAGGAGGGTGGAGGACTGTAGATGGGAGATAGGCTACATCCCCTCTGGCCCAGTGGGGCCCGATCCAGGCTTCTGGTGTGAACGGACCAGGGAGCACAGGGTTCTCCGGAGGAGTCTCCTCAGCGCATGTAATCACAGACCCCCGGGACCACTTGCACTTTCAACAAGGCCGAGGAAACTTTATACCTGGACCAAGTGACCATGCCCCCTGCCCCCCACCCCAGGAGTTTCTAACACCTTCGCTCCGCGCTCTGACACCGTCCCTCCGTGGTGCAGACATGCCTCCTGAAGTAGACATGCCACCTCTGCTTCATGCCACTGTGCAGCTGAGGGTCACCAGTCCCAGCCTTGGCCTCAGCTCACCCTCACTGTGTGATGCCAGCAGAGCCAGGGCATCACACTCCCTTTCAGAAGGGAAGGGGGCTCTCAGGGAGGACAGTGACTTGCCCCAGTAAAAGGGAGTCCGGAGCCCACCCCAGGGCCCTCTGCACAATGGCCAGCCTGCCCTTGGCTGCTGTGCTGCTGTCCCCCGGAGCTGGGCTGGGCTGGGGCTGGGCCGCTGGGAAGCGGGCTCACACCTCGCGCTGTTTCCCCGGCAGTGGAACCTGGTGTGTAAGGAAGACTGGAAGACGCCGCTCACCACCTCCCTGTTCTTCGTGGGCGTGCTCCTTGGCTCCTTCTTTTCCGGACAGCTGTCAGACAGGTAAGGGGGCCAGGAGGAAAGGTGGGATAGGGCCCCTTGTCAATCCCTGTTTGTCTTGGGATTGGACTGAATGCAAGGTGTTTCCACCCAGAGAAAGGAGGCCCCTCAGGCCAACAAGTCCGTGACAGGAGCAGCCATGATGCCTCCTGTTCTTCCTACACCCAGCCCCTTTCCGGGACCCACTGGGAAGTGGATTCTCATATTACCAAACTCTTCAAAAAAGGTGTGCTGCTGCCCGGCCGGTGCGGCTCAGTGGTTGAGCGTCAACCTATGAACCAGGAGGCCATGGTTCCATTCCCAGTCAGGGCACATGCCTGGGTTGTGGGCTCAATCCCCAGTGGAGGACATGCAGGAGGCAGCTAATCAATGATTCTCTCTCATCATTGATGTTTCTATCTCCTTCTCCCTCTCCCTTCCTCTCAGAAATCAATAAAAAATTATATTATTTTTAAAAAGGTACACTGCCATCACCACTCCTCCCACCCTGCCCCTAACTCTTGGATGACATGATCTATCCACAAACAGCCGTCAGCCAGAGTCAGGGCCAGACAGTGAGCAACTGCTTGCTAATGTGCACCACCTCTGCTGTGGACCGGGCACGGGGGCCACAGAGCTGACCTCCAGCTCACAGTCTTGAGGAGAAGGCATCACAGATCCAGGGGAAATGCCCACTGACCCCCGAATGTTCTGTGGGGATAGAGCAGGAAGGTGGGAATGCTAAGTGGCCGTGTTGGGAAGACTCCCAGAGAGGGGGCTGTGCCTCCTGCAAAGCCGAATGGGACCCCGAGCTCAACAGCCTGAGACCTGAGTTTGGAAAATGGGGTGGGAGACTGTTCTGCTAACATCTGTGATCCATTTCTCCCATCGGTCACTATCAGAATGTGAAATTAAAGATTTAAGCCAACTACAGGGTCACTAATGAACGTTCCTGGAAGCTACACTTCCCACAGAGCAGTGGTTCACAATTTTGGTTGCACATTAGACTCACTCGGAAAAATTGTTTAAATCCCAATGTCCAAACTGCATCCCAGACATAAGAATCTCGGGAGGCGGGTACAGGCTCCAGCATTTTTTGAAGGCGATTCCAAGTGCAGCCAAGGTTGAAGACCGCTGCCATAGAGGGAGTCTTGGTTCTGGACACATAGAGGTCCTGTGCTGCTGATATGAGATGTGCCTGCTGTCTGTGCTGTACCTGCCTTCTAGAAATGTGGTGGCAGCTTCTACCTGTGGCTCATTCTCAAGTGATTTCCACGTGGCCCTTGCATAAGTTGCTCTGTGCTTTTGAAATGTGGTGGTTCCACAGGAGGCTTAGACTCTCACAAGGTAACTCCTGGGCAGATGGATGCCTGAGACCTCACCAAGGAGGCACCTGAGAGTATGTGGATGACAGAGAGAAAAGCCTGTCCTAACCCCCTCCCCCCAAAATGAAGTCTACAGCAGTGCCTGACTCGGTGCTTCCCCACGCCCGAGTTGCAGTGCCTCCGTGACCTGCCCGGGCCATGTTTTGTGCTGTGCTGTCCTCTACAGGTTTGGCAGGAAGAGCATCCTCTTTGCAACCATGGCTGTGCAGACTGCCTTCAGCTTCCTGCAGATTTTCTCCACCAACTGGGAGATGTTCACCGTGTTATTTGTCATTGTCGGCATGGGCCAGATCTCCAACTATGTGGTCGCCTTCATTCTAGGTAGGAATGGCTTCTTACCCTTGGGGCTTCTCCTGCCAGCCCTCTGAGAGGCCCCGGGAAGAGGGGGGCATGGAAAAGGGCACAGGGAGTGCTCTTACCCAGCGCAGAAGGAAGCACCTCAGCCTATGAGCTGTGCTTCCAAAATGGGATCAGCTTGGGATGTGGGGGTGGGGGGCCTGTAGCCACAGGCTCTTTGATCAGACATGGACAAGGCAGGCACTCACAGGGAGCCAGCTCTGTGCCGGGTCCTGAAATGTGGCGACTAAGAGTTCAGGTTGGTGGGAACCAGCTACATAATAACTGAGACACATTTCAGGAGCACAGGGCTTGAGAGAGGCATAAAGTGGGGGGCATTGGGGGAGGGATTTCTGTGATCTGAGCTGTGAAAGCTTGAGACTTCTGCCTGGGACAGGGCAACAGAGTGTTCCTGGTAGCTGTGCATAGCCCATGGAGGGACTTAGGAGAGTTGGTGTGGCCAGTACACGGGTGGGAGAGGCACATATCAGACCGGAGTTCAGTGCCAGCCCGCCACCGTTGAGCAGATTGGCTCTCCCCCTAGAGCATACTGGTATCAGCTGTGCGCAGGACCAGCCTGGATGCTGATAGTAGTCCTGTCTCTGAGCAGCTGCCTTGCTTTTGGAATATGAGGCTGCAAGCTGAAGGCCACGAGAAGGTCCCCAGGGCCCTCACCAGCTTTTCCTGGGAGGAAGTGAGGTGAGCTCCACCCAGGTTGATCAGGGACTCCACAGGCATGAAGGTCCCTAACAGGCTCTCTGAGCCCACCTGCTCTCTGAACAGGTGAGAGGAGGGGACACCTCTGGGACCACAGACACCAAATGCCATGTCTAGTGTGATAATATATCATTGTGGGCTCACTGCTATCCCAGTTTATCCCTATTGTCACAGTGTAATTATTAGCAGTACACCTTTAATGAAAGGTGCACAATGCTTCTTATCTCAAAAGTCGATCTGCTAAGATGATTCTAATCCCTTTGGAGTGTGGATGACTCATTGGGTTTGGAGGTGCTGTGTTTTCTTAGTTGAGGATGTGTACACCCTTTGTCGGGTTGCCAAGATGGAATCATTCAAATTCCACTCCTTTAATCATTTGTGAAGAGCCCTTGCCATGGGCCCAGCCTCGGTGTCTAAAGAGGGGAGGAGGGGAGGGCATGTTGAAGCCACATGGACCTGGTAGATAGCACCCTCTTCACCGGCTCCAGCAGGAAGGGGGCCTCCCTCTTCCCTGTAGGGGGAAAGAGAGGAGCAAGTGTTTTTTTGTTTGTTTGTTTTTTAAGAAAGTCATTTGTATAAGGGACACAGACCTTCAGGACAATGATGCTGGAAACCAGAGATTGGAGGAATTTGGGGCCGAAATTGTCTGATGGGCCCCAAGGACACAGGGTTTTGGGGCACAGCAAAGTCTATCCTTCTCATTGTCTAAATTCCCCAGAATCTGTCTTCCTTGTGGTGACCTTCCCAGTATCTGAGAAGCCCAATGTATGACTCTGCTTGGGCCAGAGACTAAACAGGCTTCCTCAAAACAGAGAGCTCGGCCAGAGGCCAGCACACCCTGGCAGGAGGACACAAAGGACCATCGGAAGTAGAAGGCAGCGAATTGTGGTGAAGCCAGGGAAGCCCTGTTATTGGGATTGGGAGCCAGGTGGGGTTTGTGCCAGGTTCTGCTGAGTGGCCAGCAGTGAGATCCGCCTTTCCAGTGGCACCGGGTGCTTCCGGGGGCCACGGAGCCTTCCCAGTATGACCGGATGAGGCCGGGGCAGCCGAGGCCGGGGCAGCCCACCCTACGTGTCCTGCAAGGAAGCCCGCCCAGCTGGCCCTGACACTACAACTTACTCCCCTCCCTGCGGGAGAGGGCCAGGGGGAAGGAAGATCAGTCAGAGCCTAGATGTACCAGCCAGGATCAGCAGGCAGGACGCTGGGTGCAGCATCGGTCTGGGCCCGGGGCTGTTGTAGGGTGCTCGGGAGCCTCCCTGGCTGTAATTTTACTCAGCTGTGCTCTGTGGGAAGCTGCTGACTTTGTGTCCTTGTACGAGACGCTTTGTGTTGGGTTCTCAGGTCTGAACCTTCTTAAGAGAGTCACTGAAAACCAACCTGACCCTGGAACCTGCGGGCTCCCTCCTCAGCGCCTGGGGTGTGGTGAGGTGACAGGACCAGTCAGTACAGGGCATTGGCTTACCCGCAGCACAGCAGCTCCCTCTGGCGTTTCAGGGCTAACATGGTGAGTTTCTTTGCTTTAAAATAAAGCAAAGCTTGGAGTCTGGGCTCACCAGTTCTGTCTAGGCCTTCACTTTGCCCTCTGGCTCTAAAGAAGAGTTGGCAAGACTCTCCGATGATGATCTCCAGTTTTAAGAGTCTTCACAGTAACATTAATTCAAGGAGCTGAATTACTCCCATTCTCTACGTGGTGCAGAAGTGGGTCTCCTTGCTCTGCTTTTTAAGAAGCCTGCCAGAGTCACTGCGAGAAGAGCAATGCTACCCAAGGGAACATAAAGGGGCTACCCCTGGAGAGGAGGAATGGGGCTGGTTTAGGAGGAAATGACCACTCAGGACAAAGGACACTGACCCTCCCCACACTCCAGCTGCTGTTACAACCTACTACTGTTTCCCAGAAATAACGCCTTCAACCGGTCCACAGCCTTGTGGGTAAAATGCCAGCGGCATCCCTCATAACTAGCTGCTTAAATTTATTTCACACACGTAACTGCCTCCTGTCTGGAATGATCCATTAATTTTAATATTTTCCCAGTACTCCTAACATCAACCTCCTATGCAGTACTTGTTCCAATATGTTGAACTATTTAAAGCTCTGATAGTTCCTTTGATAAGTATGCAACTGATTGCATCTTCCTTTATTATTTTGGCTACCAGAGAGCTCAGGAAAAATTGAAATTTAACTATACCAATTATGCAGCCTTTATCAGTCACATATTTTTAAATGTTTTTAAATTGAGATATAATTTGTATACCATAATACTCTTTTACAGTTTATCACTCAGTGGTTATTGGTATACTTACAATGTTGTACAACTATCAACTCTATTTAACTCCAGAATGCTTCATCAACCCCGAAACACACCCTGTACCCATTAGCAGCCACTCCCCATTCCCCTCTTTCCCCAGCACCTACAGCCACTAATGTACTTTCTGTCTATATGGATTTGTCTATTCTGGACATTTCTGAGAAATGGATTCATATAATATGTGGCCTTTGTGATGAAGTCCTTCACTTAACATTTTCAGGGTTGGTCCATGTCGTAGCATGAATCAATATTCCATTGTAAGAACATTCCACATACTGTTCATCCATTCATGAGTGGATGGACATCTGGGTTGTTTCCACTTTCGGGCTGTTATGAATAACTATAGGCCCAGTGCACAAAATTCGTGCACGGGTAGGGTCCCTAGGGGCTGCCAGCTGCCAGCTGGGGCCTCCCTTCCCATGGTTGGACGGCTGGCCCCGCCCCCTGGTCGAACTCCCAGTCAAACTCCTGGTTGAACTCCGGTAGAGGGGACAATTTGCATATTAGGCTTTTATTATATAGGATGTGCTATGAACATTCAAGTACGATATTTTTGTGGATATGTTTTCAGTACTCTACAGTATGTACCTAGGAGTGGAATTGCTGGGTCTTATGGTAATGTATGTTTAACCATTTAAGGAACTGACAGACTGTTTTTCCAAAGTGATCAGTTGCAAATTTTTATACTTTACTCTAGGACATAACTTTTAACCTTTATTTATTATTTTAATGATATCATCATTTTATTACATTCAAAATCTTCAAGGGATGAAATGGGGTAGAAATACATTTAAAAAGATGCAGAAATTTTCTGACACCCCTTGTTTGCACTGCACTATGTGAGGGAAGAAGCAAGGACTCACTCCTGTTTTCAAAGAGTTCACATCTGGTTGGCAGAGGCTGAGAATACAGTTATTACTAAGGACATGGGTCATCATGGGTGAGGCAGGAGGGGGGGTGCAGGTAACTTTTATGGGTATACGCAGAGACAGGAAAGGTTACTTGTAACTAGAATGATCTGTGAAGGTTCATCGAGGGGAGATAGGAGGCCCTGAGCAGGAGAATATTGTTAATTTGAAGAGACTTCTGAGTATTTTCTGGGGAGCAAAGAGAGGTTTTGCTGCCTTCCATTGGGTCTCTTGGTCAAAGGCACTGTACTTCCCATCATTCCCCTAACACCTAGCACATTTCAACTGTTTGACCAGAATAAAGGAATTAGGTTCTTGAGCACCTACCATATGCCAGACACTCTACAAGTCACTTTACATACGTTATCTCAGTTCCCATAGTTATTAACTTCATAAAGTAGGACTGTGAGTCACTTGAATAACAAATGAGCATCAAGGAGCCCAGGAACGCCTGGGTCCTACCTCATATCCTGGCGACTGCACCATGGTCTTGTTTCTTGGCCTGGGGTCAGCGGCAGGCCTCTGTTGGTCATTCATGGAGGGGCAGGTCTTGCCTCCACAGGGAATGGATTCAGTAGTGCCTGACTGGATCCGTGATTGACTACCACAGAAAGGCCCCGATCAGTGTGGAAGTGAGGCTGGCCCTCTCTGAGTCCCTCCTTCTTGGAGAGAGTGCTCAGATAGTTGGTGGTGGCAATCAGTGGGCAAACATTCTGGCCGAAATGCCCCTTTAGCTTAGATGTCAGAGTTTTACACCTGAGAGGCACTCAGAGGCCCTACCAGACCAAGACCAACTGGTCTCCAGCTGGTTCAAAGACCAGCCCAGGCAAATAAAATGCAAATCCTCCCTTCTGAAAGGAGATATGGCCTCACCCACGTGTGTCTCCTCCAGAATCTCAGTTGAAGGTCTGCTCGATAGGGCCTAGGCTCTGTCCCCAGATTATTTTTTTTTTTAGACGTTACCCATAGGTCAAACAGACCAGACTTGCCCGGTCAGTGTTGCTCAGTGGTTGAGTGTTGACCTATGAGCCAAGAGGTCACAGTTCAATTCCTGGTCAGGGCACATGCCCAAGTTGTGGGCTTGATCCCCAGCAGGGGGCATGCAGGAGGCAGCCAATCAGTGATTCTGTCTCTTGATTGATGTTTCTATCCCTCTCTCCCTCTCAGTTCCTCTCTCTGAAATCAATAAAAATATATATTTATAAAAAAACAGACCAGACTTAAATCCTGGCTGCCCCATTTATTACATATGTGTGAAGTTAGGCGATGTATTCCAACTCTTTAAGTCTCAGCAGATTACATTATAAGATAGAAGTAATATTCTTCTATAATTATTGTGAAGATTCAAAAAGATAATACAGGTTAACACTTAATCTGGAACCTGACACAAAGTGCCTACTCAAAAAAAAATGCTAGCTATGAAGATGATGATGATGGTGATGATGGTGATGGTTTAGGAAGGTGATTATCTAAAAGTCAGAGAGCAGAAGGTCGTGCTAACAAGCAACTATTCAGGTTCGTGCCATCCACATTGCTCCATGCACAGAAAGGCAAAGAGGTGGATTTATGAAGCATCTGTCCCCCATGGTTACTCAGCAAAGTCAGAACAACTCTGTTCCGGCCTGGGACCCAAACTTAGAGAGGGAGATGATCCAGGAATCTAGTGGTATAACTTCTCTCTCTGATCAGGGGCATGGAACTATGAGGGAGCTCCCTTGGCCTCATGAGTCTACAAGATTTCTCACATGGTCCTGTGCACTTTCTGTTCTCCGCAATCAAATCCTCTGCCACTTCACTTCTGAATCTCTGCTCAGGAATAAAACACCCCCCCCCCCCATTCATTTCTATGTCATGATAATCACAGGCAAAGTGTTTAGAAACCATGGCATGGGCAGTCTTCCTATGGAGTGGTAGGAAGGTCATTAATGCGGTAAGAAAAGATCTGGAAATAACATTCATGATCCTCAAAATGGTCAGGCCCGATCCTTGGAAATGAATTTAGAGGCTGAGAAATGCCTGGATGGTTGGGTCTCTTGTCCACAGGCTCTAGGATGAGAGAGGCACGCAGTCCTGGCCATGTCTATCAGTCTGGTTTTAGAAATGGCTGTTTCAGAGGGAGCCTCAGAGGCGTATGGCTCAGTCCGGCTGAGTAAGGAAGAAGTGGGGCAGGGGCTGGAACAGGAAGGCATGGGAAATCAGTAATTTTACTACTTCTCTGTAATTAGCCCCTTATTCCTTAGTCTGTGCTTAGGGCATTTAAACATGGTTGAGAAAACCTGTCTTGAACGCCAAACCTGAATGATGTTTGAATGGTCTATTTTGTATTTTCCGGGCTACTTCTGTGTAGTGGTGGAAAGACCTCAAACAAAAGGCGGAGCGCTTGCCATTGGCCAGATCTCCGCCCCTGGGGACCACGAGTGGACTCTGTGGAGAGGGCCTGGAGCTTCGGGACAACAGAGGGAGCTTGTTCTTGGATTCTGAAGGGCGGGTGGCGTCTCTGGGAGAACTGGTGCCAAGCCAGCCATTGTGGCTCTGAGCAGAGCAGGACCCAACAGCCACCTGCATGTCCTTTCCCAAAACAGGGCCCAACACCAAGCAGTCTTGAGCCTTTGTGCTGTTCTGGGAAAGCTCAGTGGAGTTCCCTGCGTGTGTGGCCAGCTCCAGGGCCGCCGTCTGCTGGGCCAGCAGAACTGTGCCTTCTTTCTTTCCTGGTCTAAATGGCCTGTGTCTACCTGGGGCTGATCCCTGGGCACAATGTGGCTGCAGGGGAACTAGCCCCTGGCTCCGGGGCCTGTTCTGTGCACATTCCAGAGCCAGCTGGATCCCGTGTATCACTTCTCAGGGCTCACGGGAGGCTAAGAGTGTCCGAGCACCACTCAGTGACTGAGCTCTCCAGTGCCCGTGTCTGTGCGGTGGAGAACAGTGGGAAAGGCTCAAGGCACAGTGCCCCTGCAAAGCGCCTCAAAAGAGCCCCACTGTCTCCTGGACCACCTCTTGCTCCTCACCCTGGGGCTCTGGTTTTGGAAATGTGGCATTCCCAGAAGAGGTTACCTCTTGGGGCTGGGCTTGCTATTTCTAAGACATGAAATGATCTTTATATATATAAAAAAAAATCTATGGCTCTTTTAAAATGAAAACTTAGCTTTCCATAAGGTGATAAGTCTTGCGTCACTTCCCACCTTCCTCCACCCTGACCACTCCTGCCCTGGGCTATGAAACAAACGCCTTTTCCCTTCTGTAAGTGACTACAGTTTGAACTCTAACTGCCAGGTAATGATGTATAAAGCAAATATTAAAGTGAGTTAAAATGCTAATATTCCTCCCTTGTTTTGAACAGGAACAGAAATTCTTGGCAAGTCAGTTCGTATTATATTCTCTACGTTAGGAGTGTGCACATTTTTTGCAGTTGGCTACATGCTGCTGCCACTGTTTGCTTACTTCATCAGAGACTGGCGGATGCTGCTGCTGGCGCTGACCGTGCCGGGGCTGCTGTGCGTCCCGCTATGGTGGTGAGTGTGGCTCAGCCCCAGACAGCCCCCTGCTGCTGGCCAGCACAGCCTGGAGCCGAGAGCCTGGTGCTGACCCTGGTGTGATCTCACTGGAGCTGGCTGAGGCTGGGCCTCAAAGCCCAGAGACTGGCTGGGTGGGTCTGTGTGCTGGGGTTTAATTCTCCTCTGTCCCACGAAGCACCTTCTCAGGAAATCCAGCCTTTGCCCCTCCCCAGTCTTGTCTGCTGTTGGTGGTGGTTTTTATTTGTGGAGATGGTCTTGTTGGGTTTTGTTGTTTAGAACTCTACCGCCCCTCCCACCCCAGGTGTTTTGACACTTTTCTCTAGGAGCTCTCTTTCTCCCTATGGACTCAACTAATGTAGTTTCTGTCCTCCAGCATCTAAGGCAGTGATGGCAAACCTTTTGAGCTCGGTGTGTCAGCATTTTGAAAAACCCTAACTTAACTCTGGTGCCGTGTCACATATAGAAATTTTTTGATATTTGCAACCATAGTAAAACAAAGATTTATATTTTTGATATTTATTTTATATATTTAAATGCCATTTAACAAAAAAAATCAACCAAAAAAAATGAGTTCGCGTGTCACCTCCGACACCCGTGTCATAGGTTCGCCATCACTGATCTAAGGAGTGCCTATTTATCTGCTTTATCTAGAAAGGCAAGAGAATTACTTCCCTTTAGTGAGTTGTCAGAGAAATGACCTCTTCTCTCCTCCCTCAACCCGCCAACCCCATTTTGACACATGAGTATGGGAATCACACAATCACAAAATCACTAATCCTAGGTTTTCCCTCTATGGTTCCGTGGGAGATTTCAGGTGAGAGAGCAGATTAAGAAAAAGGGAATCTGGTCCCAGCCACACCCTCTTTTTGGGGATTCCCCATTTCTTTGGTTTTTCACATTTAAGCAAGAGGAAAAGAAATTTCTTCCATCGCTGGGCCTGGCTCTCTCTCTCTCCCTCTCCCTCTCCCTCTCCCTCTCCCTTGTTTGGTTTCAGGACATCGAAATCAAATCTCCCAGTAGTGCCCTGGTCAGTGTAGTTCAGTGGTTAGAGCAATGGCCCATGTACCAAAGGGTTTCAGGTTTGGTTCCCAGTCAAGGGCAGGTACCTCGGTTGCAGGTTGGATCCCCGGGTTCAGTTGAGGAGTGTGCAGGAGGCAACTGATGTGTGTGTCTCTCACATCAATGTCACCCCCTCTTTCCCTTCCACTCTCTCTAAAAATCAATGGGAAAATATCCTCAGATGAAGATTAACAACAGCAACAACAAATATCCCAGCAGTGACTGTTTTTATCAAACTGTTTGAGTCCTACCTACTTGCACACAGTGAATGCTCCTTTGATCACTTTTTGGAACTCACAATTTAGACTAGCCCTCCTGGTTGCCCTGTCCTGTGGACACGCTGCCTGGAGAGGTGCCTGTAAGTCCATTATCTTGCTGCAAGTGTTGTGCAGCCATAGAGGCTGATAGGTAGCACATATTGGCCCTGTTGAACCAGATGGCTCAGGTTGGACCCACTCCAAGCTACTATCTCCTTATGACCTCTAAAACTCTATGGTTTACCTGTGTAAATTTTTGGCATGGGTGTGCATGGGGGGAGAGAGCACCTTTCCCCCCCTTATTTCCCTGGAATGTGAGAGACAGTGTGTGAAAGGTTAGCTACTATTCTGATTTGGAGGTTTCCTCTGGAACCCAGTCTGATGATTAGGAAAGCTTATGGTGAATAAGGGCAGGCCATCATCTGCACAGCTCTGCCTCCGAGGAAAGCAAGGGCCATTTTCTGGAAGAGGAGTCACCATCATCATCATCATCACACCCTCTACCCACAACTCCTTGCTAACTGAATCTAGTGTAAATGCTTTTGGTGACCCAGTGCTCTCTGAAGACACAAGACAAGATTATTCATAGGTTATTTTCTGCCTCTTCAGATGAATGATTTTAATAATTTATGTTCCCTGGCTCTCATCCTTTTGGCATAAGAGACTAGTACTTTTAAAAATGTTATAATCAAACTTATAACTATATACTTCTCTCAGAGGAGAGAGAGAGAGAGAGAGAGAGAGAGAGAGAGAGAGAGAGAGAATAAAAATAGAAGGGTTCTGATTAACTAAGAGATTAGTAGGGATTTTAATTTGTGGGACTTGGATCTTTCCCTCAGAACCAAGCAGCACAGCAAGGAATAACTCTGATAGGTCAGCCCCTTGAGTTTCCAGCTGAGAAGGCCCAACCCATGAGGAGTGGCCTCACTCTTGCCCTAAGGAGAGTCCTATCTTCTGCTGCTCACTGGCTGGTCTGGGAGTGCTCCTGGCTATGGGCACACTGTTCAGAGCCAGCATTGCCCCACACAGACGCCGTCCAGGGCCAGCACTAACAAGCTGCATGCTGGTCCTGCAAGGTTAAAACAATAGTCTTACCATCTTCCTACAAAAACAAAATCACTTTGTTCTGAACATCTTGTCCTTACGATGCTGGAACGATGGGCTGGGGTGGTGTGGGGATGCTTCGGGCTGCCGGGCTCTCTGCCACCCGTCAGTGAGGGACACAGACTCTCCAGCAACCCCCTCCCCTGTTCATTGTGAATTAAAACTACAGAGAGACTATCGTGTACAACCTCGCGTGGTGCTCCACTGACTTTATAAGTGATCAGCTAGACTTGATTCTTCGTACACCAAAACCCATGGCAGTTCAGTAGTAGGGATTGCAGTCAGCCTGAGTACGTGGCTGGAAATGGGAGGGGAACAGAGTCATTGCAGGTGGCTTGGGGATTTTTTACGCCCCAAGTTCCCTTTAAAAGGCTTGCCTACAAGTTTAAATGAAGTATGTGATAGGGGGAGGGGCGGAGCCCATAGATGCAACGTGGGGAAAGCTTTGCAATATCCAGCTGCCTACACGTTAGGAACCTGAGGCCAATGATGGCCCTCAGGGCCTGTAGTAAGAAAGATGGGATATTTTTAGAACAACCTGGTTGGGGAAAGATACTGCTCAGAAGCCAAAGTGCCCTGAGGTACACTGACTGTGTAGTAAGACCCCTCATTCTGCACTAAGACAGGAGTCACTCGCCACAGGCTGCTTTTTAAATTAAAATTGATTAAAAGTAAATGAAATTAAAATTCATTTCCTCAGTCACACTAGCTCAAGAGCTGCGTGTGGTTAGTGGCTACTGTACTGGACAGCCCAGCTCTAATTACTGAAGGTCAGTGACCTGACATCATCATGGTTGCAACGGGGACCACATAAGGGCATCTTCTGAAAAATGCAAACTGGGTTCAGTTTTCAGCCATTGTGCTGGGAGGCTGGGACAGGGAGCTGGGGTTGGCTATTTGATCAGTTGTCTTTTGCTCTGAGGTCATTCCTCTTGAGGCTTTGGAGGGGCCCATTTAAGTATAGGAGGCCTCTGTATCTGCTACACGTAATTTACTTTCTAGTATAACTAAGTACTGATGAATAGGTAAGGAAAACAAGAGCCGGCAGAAGAATGGCTAAGGAATCCTAAGAAATAAAAACTGGGAAGGAATGTTAAAATATAAATAAATATGTGCATGATAAAAATAAATAGAAAAAGAAAAAATAGAAAAATTAGGAAAGAAGTCAACTGTGTTTGACCATCAATTAAAATGTAGGAAGATTGTATAATTTTTAAAATTAACTTTCTAGACATTAAAAAAAGACAACATTGGCTGTCTCCCCAAATCTGGTTTGGGGGCTCGCTGACCCGGGGCTCTGTTGAAGGTGAGGAGGACAGCCCACAGGAGGAGTCAGGGCACCCACCTTCTCCGCTGAGGACAGGAAGTGCCCGAGGAGCACAGGTGGCCGTCTTAACACATAGACTTGAGCGCAGCACCAGCTGGGGCTCCAGGAAGTCTCCTAGGCACGGACACACTGAGCGACACTGGGCTGTTTCCTTTTAAGAGCCACACTTGGCTATTAAGTTTTTGATGGCCGTCTCCAGCTACCCTGGCTTAAACCCCTGCACAGTTAACGTTACACCTTGCACTGCTCCTGGCTTCAAATACAACTGATGATCAGTCTTGTGATTTGCTCAGAACTTTGAAATGTGAAAGCGCTTTTATTTATTCCTATAACCAATGGAAATATTATGAGGCCTCAGCTTTAAAACAAACAAACTAGAATTTTACAAAATAAAAATTATCTGGGGATCAATTTATGGTTAATAGTGTCAAACCCTGCCTTTGTGAAAAAGTATAAACCATTAAAAATGAATTCTAGGTTTATTCCTGAATCTCCACGGTGGCTGATATCCCAGAGAAGATTTAGAGAGGCTGAAGATATCATCCAAAAAGCTGCAAAAATGAACAATGTAGCGGTCCCGGCGGTGATTTTTGATCCTGTGGAGGTAAGCATTTGCAGATGTTTTCTCTTGAGGTCAGTCACGCATTCTTGATCTTAATGGAATTTAATTTAATTCAATGTATTTTGAGTGCCCACCAGGTACCAGGCTCTGTCCAAGGCCTTAGAGACACAACGATGACTAAATTCTGAGATAAAACCCACTATAAAGAGCTGTGTGTGAATTAAATGCAATAATATATGTAAACTGCTTAGCATAAACAAGTGTTAACTAAACATTAGTTCCCTTCCTTTTTGCAAGTTCATCTCCAACTTTTTATTGGTATTGCTCCATACCATTGATGCAGCTACATACTGGTGAATATATATTATATATATACTAGAGGTCTGGTGCACGAAATTCATGCATTGAGTGGAGGGGGTCCCTCAGCCCAGCCTGCACCCTCTTGCAATCCGGGACCACTGGCTCCTAACCGCTTGCCTTTCTTCCTGCCGTGAGGCACATTGGACCTGAACTGGTTGGGCCCATGGAGGGAAAGGGGGCTTGTGCTTTCCCAAGGCCCAGTCACCTCCCCTGCTCACCTCCCAGGTAAAATCCTCTTTAGGAGGATCTGCAGAGCCCTGCGCCAGCAAATGCAGCCTGCTCGCGATGGTGATGGCAAATCTGCCATATGCCTGTTTCTCGGGAGAGGAAACCGAGGTACAGAGAAGTTAAGTAATTTTCCCAGGATCCACAGCTAGAAGTCTCACTCGGTCTCTCCAGTGCAAAAGTGCATGCACTTACCTGGGCTTGGGCTTTTTTACCTGATACGAGGAGCAGTGGTGTTAACTTGGACAGGAAAGAATGAAAAGTAGTATCATTTGGAAAGCAATCTCAAGCTTCTCGGATTTCCTTTCTGAAGCATCTCCAACTTGCTTGGTGCCTGGTCCAAAGGCATTTTGGTGGCTTCACACAGGCCAAGCATGAGCACTGGATATAAGAATGTTCTTATCCTGAAGTTTCCGAATGTGGCTGCCTATCACAATCACTCAAGGGACCTTAAAATTCAGATTCCCAGGCATCTGCCACCCCCCACCCCCAAGAAAGAGTGTGTAATTAAGCAGGTTCAGGTGGGATCCAGCAATCTGCATTTTCACAAGGGCCCTGTGGAAGCACCAAATGTCAGCGTAGGCCTGACTCACAGGTCCCACCTGTGCATAGCACTACTCCCAGAGCCCTCCAGGTTCCCTTCAGCGATGCAGGGGCTTTGCTTTGTGGTCGTAACAGAGCAGCATGCTCCAAGTAGCGCAGAAGAAACAAGGTAATACGCCTGTGAGCTGCATGAGGAGGCGTCTGATTATTCCTGAGAGAAGGATGCTAATATCTGGGGAACACCAGCTACAAAGGCGGCTGGCACCCTCACTTCTTTTATTATTGAACCTCCTTCCGCAGCCTCACTGTACACACACCATAAAGTCCTTGCACTTTATCCCACAGAGATTCTCCACCTCAGAGCCTTGTAACTTTTTAGTTTGAATGCTAATAAGCTTGGTTATCTAGATTCCTAACTCATGGCAAATTAACATCAGTAAATTAAAAGTAAAAGAGGGCTCAGAGGGAAGGTGGGGATGGGTGAGTGGGAAGAGATTAACCAAAGAATGTATATGCATCGCCCATGGACACAGACAATAGTGTGGTGAAGGCCTGGGGTAAGGGGCAGGCTAGAAGGGGTCAATGGGGGGGGGGCATACGTAATCTTTCAACAATAAAGTTGTTGTTTTTTAAGTAAAGGAGGGGAGCCCATTGACAGCAGTAAGAAATTACCACTCAGCACTGACAGCTAGCATCTTCTCAATGGCGCAGTAATAATGTTAACAGTTAAAATGTATTGGGCATTTACATAGTTCAGGTATATGTTAAGCTATATTTAATCTTCTCAACTCTCTCTATATATATATTGTGCGATATATATATATATATATATATATATATATATATATATTATATATATATATAGTGTCCCTTCAAAATGTATACACACTTAACAGCTGATAGCTCAATTGATATTTCTTTCTTTTCAGATTTAACCCATTGGAATTAATTGTTCAAAGTGTGTATACAGTTTTGGGGGGGCATCCTATTTTACAGAGAAGTAAATGGGGGCTGAGAGAGGATAAACAGTAACTTTTCCAAGGTCCCACAGTTAACTCAAATCTGTTCAAGTCTGTTCTGACTCAGAGACCTCAACAAGAAAAGTATAAAAAGCAGACAGGGACCTCAAGGCATATAGCCCTACCAATGCAAGGATCACAACTCAGTGTGATTCAGGTGCCCATAGTGATTGGCATGAGGCAAGGAATGGCTATGCTAGCAGTTAGGCTTTCTATAAGAGACAGTGGAGCCAATGTTATATATGTTAAAGGCTTCTGTCTTAAATTAGCCACAAATATTTGTGTTAGAATAAAGCGTCATATATGTACATGCTCTTATTCCCCGAGAATTCCTGATTTCTAAGCATATTCAAGGTAAAGTGCATAAGTTTTTCCCATGCTGTCATGGCCAAAGATACTTCCTCACTAGCTCTTAATCTCATGGTTATTTGCATTATTTTAGCTACAGGAGCTAAGACCCCTGAAGCAGGAGAAAGTTTTTATTCTGGACCTGTTCAGGACAAGAAATATTGCCACAATAACCATTATGTCTATACTGCTATGGTAAGTAATAAGTGATCTGGAAGTGTGATATACAGCACATAAGTGTATGACTAATTTTCTTTAATTCAGGGGAACATCAAGACAAGGCCTGGGTCTTCATGAGACAAAATAAAAATTATCTATATATATAAAAGGCTAATATGCTAAGTGTCCAACTGTCCAACCGGTCACAATGACATGCACTGACCACTAGGGAGCAGATGCTCAGTGCAGGAGCTGCTGTGATGCGCACTGGCCATTTACAGAGAAACAGCACCACAGACCTGGAGCCCACAAAGCAATACTTGGCTTCTCCCAAGTGGGACACAGGCCCCGCCACCACCCCAGAGTGACAGCCCACCAAATCGCAGCAGACCCCATGGCACAAAATGCAGCCCACAGCCCAGCCTGGAAACAGTGGCTGTGGGCACTGGGTAATGACGTCATGTAGCAATGCCTGGCTTCCTCTCCCTAGCAACTAGCCTCCTTGCAGTTTCTTCAGCCCAGGAACATGACTTGCTTTATAGCCAGGTGCAAACATTTTACACTTTAACAAAATGTCTGTGAAGCATTTTCCTGTGCCTCATCTCATTTGATCCTCACAGAAGTCCTGGAGTAGGTAGATAGGAGACTCGGTGGAATCCTATTTTCTTTTCATTAGCCAGAAAACAGAGATTTAGAAAGCTTAGAAACTTGACCAAACTGAAAAGAAGTAAAAAATGGTGGAGCTTGAAAATGACTTCAGGTTTTCTCACTGCACAGAATATAGTCAAACACTGCTGCAGTTAAATATTTTATCTTTTGTTCTCCCTGTGTGATCTACAATAATAATCTGCTTCATGTTGATATTTACTGCTGTGTTGCTGATACCTGAAAGAGAAGTTGGGGTGCTTCACTGGGCTGGAAAAGTTAACTAAATCAAAAAGTTTAACTAAATCAAAAAGGAGGTCTAATTAAGCAAGTTTATTCTATACCTATAAAAGGCTAAGTTGACTCGCCTGTGTAGCGATACATAGAAAGCTCTTACTGGCACCAATCGCACGTGTGTGTTTCGATCTGTTGTTGATTGTGAATTTCATTGACACTTCTATTATAGAGAAAGGGCGAATGGCGATATTAAAATATTTCTTCTAATTAATTTCCTTTCAATGTGCATGAATTCGTGCACTGGGCCACTAGTAAAATTTTAAGTTATTTGGAGATGCCTCAATTCAATTCATGGAACTGGATATTAAAAAAATAAGTCACAGGGAACAATAAAGTCTGCTGCACTGTGGCCCACAGGGAAAGGGTCCCTCCATTGGGATTAAGGCTAATAATGTCCTTGGTGCCTGAAGCCAAGATTCTAATTCAGCTCCTACTTCCTGAAGCTATACTGGCAATTGAACAGGGAGATTAGAATAACCTGAACCCCCTACTGCTGAGATTGGAGTTTGTTTTTGTTTTTAAATAGTCCTCACTGGAGTATATGTTTATTGATTTTAGAGAGGGGGGATGGAGTGGTGTGGAGAGAAAGAGAGAGAGAAACTTATGGGCCCCGACTGGGGATCGAATCTGCAACCTAAGTACACGCCCTGACTGGGTATTGAACCCAAAACCTTTTGGTGTACAGGACAATGTGCCAACCAACTGAGCCACCTGGCAAGGGCCCAGATTAAGGTTTTGACAAGCTTTTTATACCTGCCAATTGCAAACTACCAAGTGATTTTTAAAAAATTCTTTTATATATATATATATTTTTTTTTTATTGACTTCAAAGAGGAAGGGAGGGGGCGAGAGAGACAGAAACATTAATAATGAGAGAGAATCATTGATTGGCTGCTTCCTGCACGCCCCACACTGGGGATCACGCCCACAACCCTGGGCATGTGCCCTAACAGGGAATCAAACTGTGATCTCCTGGTTCATAGGTCGATGTTCAACCACTGAGCCACACCGGCAGGCTACCGAGAGATTTTAAGGCATCGAAATAATGAATTGACTGTGTAGACTAGTTTTAATAATAGATCTGCCAAGAAATGAGGAAGAAGAAAAAAAAACATGCCTATCCCATGATGGCAACAGAAAGATGATTGTCATAACTAGTAGGTTCAGACTGCAGCTAGTCTATTTTTAGGGCCATCCCGTTTTGCAGTTCGAGGAAACCGGTGACAGAGCTTATGACTGAATTAAGCAAATGTGTCCAGGCACCTGGCTTTCCTCCCTCACTGTAGGCCTCCTTAGTTCACACCTGTCAGCATAGTCACTGGTTTTTATCTAAGCTGCTCTTATTACCAAATGTGAAAATCAGTAGGATTCCTAGAGCAATCAAGTTTAATTTTTGTTGTATTTTGGAATAGCCCTTGTGCTACCCAACCTAATAAAGTAGGTATAAAAATCTTCAACAGTGTCCTGAAAAGATTCTTCAGATATCCTTTGCTTTCATTCATGTGAATAATAAGCAAACTTCTGCATAGGGCAGTGATTTTTCCACAGAGAAACTTTTCCATGGACGTTAACTGTAATGCCAGGATATATGGTGTGCACTTTGTAATACTCTGAAGCATTATGGGTCTCCATTCTTTCCCCTAAAGTGAGTTTTACTAAACCTTTTGGAATTTACTATAAGTAGATCCCACAGTATTACCTATGTTTCTCCTTTTCCTTCTTGTTTTTTGGTAAGAATGAAGTCTGGATTTTATGTTCACTGACATGACTGACATACATTCTTTCTTCAAATAATAGCTCTAAGGGAATGAAGATGTACAAACTGTTCAGGAAATATTGAAATATAAAATTAACTAGACCAGGGTAGGTGTTGTTGTGTACTGGTATATCTAGACTTGTGCTGTCCAATAGAACTTTTTGCAGTGATGAAAATGGTTTTATCTGTGTTGTCCACTATAGTAGCCACTAGCCACATGTGGCTATTAAGCAATTGAAGTGTGGCTAGTGCGATGGAGGAACTGATTCTTTGATTTTTTTTCTTTTAAATTTTTTTATTGTTGTTGTTAATCCTTACCGGAAGATATTCCTCCATTGATTTTTAGAGAGAGTGGAGAGACAGAGAGAGAGAAGCATCGATGTGAGAGAGACACATCAATAGATTACCTCCTGCATGCACCCTGACCGGGGCTGGGAATCTAGCCTGCAACCAAGGTATGTGTCCTTGACCGGAATCAAACCTGAGACCCTTCAGTCTGTGGTCCGATGCTCTATCCACTGAACCAAACCGGTCAGGGCTGATTTTATTTAATTTTAATGTATTTACTTTTAAATAGCCATATGTAGTTAGTGGCTACATATAGGAAAACAGAATCTAGACAATTTCTTGACCATTATGAAAGTTTAGAGTGATTCATACCATCCTTTTATCACTTTTGTTGTGTCTGTTGTCTTTTAGGATGCTAACCTCAGTCGGTTACTTCGCTCTGTCTCTCAACTCTCCTAATTTACATGGAGATGCCTACCTGAACTGTTTCCTCTCTGCCCTGATCGAAGTTCCAGCTTACGTCACAGCCTGGCTGCTCCTGCGAACCCTGCCCAGGCGGTATATCATAGCTGGAGTGCTGTTCTTCGGAGGAGGCGTGCTTCTCTTAATTCAACTGGTACCTGCAGGTAAGAAGTTAACCAATAGTAACAGCTTAACAGAAAAGACCTACACCTTGATTTGGGCTAATTATTGGTCACTGCTCCCTGTTTATGTATCCTTCCCATCATATACCATTCATAAGTCAATTAGACAAATGATAGCTAATTGTGTAATTTCGCATGTTCAAAACAACACCCCTCAAACAGATGAGTCAGCTTGGAGAGTTGGAAATCATTACCTGAAAAGGAAAAACAATGCTCCCGGTCATCCCTGTCATGGAAACCTTCACCTAAACCCTCTAACCTCTTTCTTGAAGACACAATTCTGAGTCCCAATTTTTTGGTATTTTCTAACCTTTACTTAAGGTGTGTACTCAAGTGTAACAGTTAGTAGTTCATGCTAGTTCCAGTATAAATTCAGTGATTTTTAGGGTCTGTAACATTTTAGATAGAGAGCACACAGAACAACACAAACTGATAAACAAAAACAGATCCAGAGATATAGAAGCATCGAACAGACCGTCAAACCTCAGAGGGTAGGCAGGGGAGAATGGAAGCGGGGAGGGTGAAAGATCAACCAAAGGATTTGTATGCATGCACATAAGCATAACCAGTGGACACAGACAGTGGGAGGGTGAGCGCATGTGCTGGGGGATGGGAGTGGCCGGGGAGAGGTCAAGGGGGGAAAAGGAGACATATGTAATACTTACAATAAAAATGTTAAATTAAAAATAAAGAGCACACAAAGGGACATATGCTTCCTTTCCCCTTATGTCTAACATTCTCATACTATTAAATTGTTAAGGCAATAGATTATTGATACCTAGTATTATACATAGAAATATGTATTTCTTGCCCAGATGGCATGGCTCAGTGGTTGAGCGTCGAACTATAAACCAGGAGGTCACTGTTCAATTCCTGGTCAGGGTACATGCCCAGGTTGCAGGCTCAATCCCCCAGTAGGGGGCGTGCAGGAGGCAGCCAATCAATGATTCTCTCTCATCATTGATGTTTCTATCTCTCTCTCCCTCTCCCTTCCTCTCTGAAATCAATAAAAAAAAATTTTTTTTAAAGGAATATGTATTTCTTAATAATACTAAACAGGATAGAAAGCATTAGTTCTTCTCATTGAAGATTAAACTTAACTATATTAACATGTTAATGACTTACCATGAAAGTGCTGTAACAAGTAAAAGTGGACAAAGGTCACTGAATGTGTAAATGATCCAGTGGTCGGCAAACTGCAGCTCGCGAGCCACATGCGGCTCTTTGGCCCCTTGAGTGTGGCTCTTCCACAAAATACCACGTGCGGGCGCGCACGTACAGTGCGATTGAAACTTCGTGGCCCATGCGCAGAAGTTGGTATTTTGTGGAAGAGCCATACTCAAGGGGCCAAAGAGCCGCATGTGGCTCACGAGCTGCAGTTTGCCGACCACTGATCTATACTAATAGTAGAGCCAAGCACAAGGCAACCCCTCACTCTCCATCTTTGTCCATGTCAATTATTTGAATAGAAAGTGTTATTTGGGGAATATCTCTACAATGTGAAAAACATGCTCCTTCAAGCAAAGAGAACCATAAAAGCAACCGAGTTGAGAACATATCACTTCTAAAGCACCCCTGTTTACACTAGGTCTCTTTTCCAGATTACAACTTCTTGTCCATTGGCCTGGTGATGTTAGGGAAATTCGGGGTCACCTCTGCTTTCTCCATGCTGTACGTCTTCACTGCAGAGCTCTATCCCACCATGGTCAGAAACATGGCCGTGGGGATCACCTCCATGGCCTCCAGAGTGGGCAGCATCATCGCTCCCTACTTCGTGTACCTTGGTGAGACACAGCTTATTGATCTGTTCTTTTTTTAAATATAAAAGTAATATATTTTCATTGCATAGAGAGTACTGAAAAAAGTACAAGTTTATCTCTTTTTTCTCAGTCCCCTAAATCACACCCCTATAAGTAATTAATATTAACAGTTTGGTGAGTAGCCCTTCAGATATTCTGTATATATGTAGTTTTACAAATTTTTTAACTTAACATTGTATCAGACTATCTTTATTGGTATACACAGTTCTTTTACCTTCTTTTTCGTTAGTACCTAGTCTTCCAATGTACACATATACATAATTTGTTTAACTAGGTTTAACAGATGGACATTTAAGCCATGTCCAGGTTTTTGTTATTACTGCAATGAACGTTTCCCTATGTCCTACACCCTTTATTGGTTTGATTGTGTATATTTGGATTCATGGATTGCTGGAGCAATTTAAAAATTTTACAGATATTGCCAAATTGACATCTAAATATTGTACCCATTTACAATCCAACTATCAATACATGCCTATTTCTCTGCATCCTCACCAGCAATGGGATTATCCAATTGTTTAATCATTGATAATCTGTTATGTGAAAAGCGGATATCATTGTTGCTTTCATTTCTTTAATTATAGTGAGGTTGAGCATTTTTTATATATTTATTGACCTTCTATTTATTTTTTAGTGACCTGACTGTTCATGTCTTTTGCCCATCTTTCTAATGTTTTTTTTTCAACATTTTATCTTTGATTTGTGAGAGGTCTTTGTAATTGAAAAAAAATTAGCCCTTTGTATATATGTTGTAAATATTTTTCCTAGTTTATCATTTACATTTTTACTTTATAATACTTTTTGCAATGCAGAAAATTTTAGTTTTTATGTAACCAAATTTCTTAAGCTGAAATAACACCTCAGAGGCACTTTAGTGGGATGTTCAATGGATGCAAGATCTGGTTCTCCAAGCCTAATCCTCATTAAGGACTGTACTGATGAGAGACACAGAGGCCTCAGAACAGTTTCAAGATTAATGTTTTGGGTTGTTGTTTTTTTGTCAAATAAAATTCTTGGGTGTGTTGTTCCTCTATAATCTCTCTATGCAAATGGGAAGCAAAATAAGGATCTGTTATTTTCCTGAGTGACATTGTATAAAGGAGAGATGAAGTGGTTCTTCCAATTACTTATAAAACCAAGACTTATAAATGCTGCAAAAAAAAGAAAAAAGAAAAGAAACCAAAGCACTACTTTCACGGTGCCTAACATTTATTTTTTTTTAATTGGATTGAACATATTACTTAGATTTTTTTTTCCAAGTCTCATGACTCCGTGGACCTAGCTTTCCACTGCAGCCTACTGGTTTGGGTCAAAGCAAAGGTCACACCGATCATGATAGCCAGTACCTGTACCTACAGCATGCTGGTCAACCTCTTTCTCCTTCATGTCCTCCCTTTCCCTCTTCTCCAGTTACCTCCGCCTTCAGAGGAGAAGTTTGCTAGGCAAATATTTCTACCAAAGGAACATCTGTCATACATGATTATATAGCAGCTTAGAGAATAGCAGTTGACATGAAAGACCTTCTGATAATGCAAAACAAATGGTGCATTTTGCATACTTTTTAACTTCAGAAAATGTTCCAGTTTAAAACTGCTGTCAAGCACTGTTTGCCACCTTTGCAAAATGATGCTCGAGAGCTTCTGGAGAATCCCTTTTTCTAACCATGTCCCGTGCCTTACAGGTGCTTACAACCAAGTTCTGCCCTACATCCTCATGGGCAGCCTGACCATCCTGATAGGAATCATCACCCTGTTTTTCCCTGAAAGTTTTGGAGTGACTCTACCAGAGTCCTTAGAGGAGATGCAGAAAGTGAAATGGTAAGTGGAACTTTAAAAAATGATATAAAAATATCTCAGAAAGAATAAATATGCAAGAATGGCTAGGGAGAGTAGCGCTATCATATAATAAAGTGTATTATTAAACAGTGGTAGTGAAAACAGTGTGCTAATGGTATAGGAATAAAAATCACTGAATAGAGTTTGAATTAAACCCAAGAAAATATGAGAGCCCTAACCGGTTTGGCTCAGTGGATAGAGCGTCGGCCTGCAGACTGAAAGGTCCCAGGTTCGATTCCAGTCAAGGGCATGTACCTTGGTTGCGGGCACATCCCCAGTAGGGGGTGTGCAGGAGGCAATTGATTGATGTTTCTCTCTCATCAATGTTTCTAACTCTTTATCCCTCTCCCTTCCTCTCTGTAAAAAATCAATAAAATATATTTTTTTTAAAAAGAAAGAAAATATGAGAATTCTATATATGATAAAAAGTAGCAATTCAAAAGCAGTGGGGAAAAGTTAGATTATTAAGTAAAATATATTAGAACATTCAGCTAGCCATTTTGGATAAATAAAAACTTGAGTCCTACTTCAAAATGCATCCATATAAATTCCAGAAAGAATAAAAGTTGAGGCCTAAAAATGTAAAATATTTCTATTACTTTTGAGAAGGCCTTTCTGAGCATAATCTGAAAAGCAAAAAGCCATAAAGGAAAAGATTGATATATCTAATTATGTAATTTTAGAAATCGTTGGCACAGCAAAAAAGAAACCATAAACAAAGACAAAGGTCAACAAGGCAGGAGGAAAATATTTGCAACATGCAACACAAACCCAGGGCTGGTATACCTAATATACAAACGCTCTTAGTGATTTGTAGGGGAAAAGACAAACAACTCAGTAGGAAAACTTAGCAGAAGTCATGAACAAGCAGTTTACAGAAAAGGACATTTCAGTGGCGCATATATATATATATATATATATATATATATATATATATATATATGATCTTTCTATGATATCACAGATTGGCAAACATTTAAAAGATAAGTGGTTTGGTAGGAGACTTTTAGATTCTGGAACGAGACTGCCTGGCTTCAAAGCCCACATCTACTGCATAAATTTGGGGAAATTTAATTTGGGGTAAACTTAATTTTCACTAAGCTTCAGTATAGTAAGTTATATGAGATAACGTGTTTCAGTGCCTGGCCATGATAAAGATAAGTCTTTGTCATGTGAATGGATTCTGATCTCTGACAGAACACATAGTAAAAGGTGCATATTTTTGATAAGCTATTTTCTTGTAATGATACAACCAGTTCAATATCAATTTTAACTCACGAGAACTTCATTCTTACCAATCTATCCTTCCCTCAGGGAAATGAAAAGAGTGTAAATTCTGGGTTTCGTTTATGTTTAATTAAGAAAATGACTCCAAGTATTCAAAATAATAAAGTATTAGCTCTAGGTTCTAATTAGAGTTACAATCATTACTTGTTCATTGAAGAAATGTTTTTCAGTGTCGGTTTAGAATTGTGAAGAAGAGAGTTGTGAATATTTAATTTTCTTTAGCACGCATCTTATTTTCAGGTTCAGGTCTGGGAAAAAAACAAGAGATTCAGTGAACAACGAAGAAAACCCCAAAGTTCTAATAACTTCATTCTGATAAAAATTTCTACCCCACTCGGTGAACTGAAAAACAGAGACATAAGACCCTGAAGAAACCAAAGCTTTTCCTGATGAAATGGACTGACTGTAACCAGACGGGCCCTGCTGTTGAGAAATGCTTGTCATGTAGCAAATTCTGGACCACTCTTCCAGATCATCTCCTTTTTTAAAAAAACTAACCATTTCTATAGGGTCCACCTTACTAATGAGTCCAGCGAAATGGGTTTGTAAGGTTGTTTGAAAATGTGTTGATTAAGGACTAGTCAATACACATAAAGATGAACACTCATTTCCAAACATACGACTGCCATCCAAATAGAGCGTCATTGTATTCACACACTGTCAGGTGACAACAGCGTGTGTGTGTGTGTGTGTGTGTGTGTGTGTAAGTAAACCGGCACATTCAAAATTACAGACCTTTCTACAGTGAATTCATATACTGCTATAATCAAATGACTATATGCAGCATTCCTAGCCAGAAAATTTTACACACTCCTTTGAGAGGATTAACAGTGTTTGCAAGAGATCAGATAGCCTGGCTCCTATTTTTTTAATTATTATTATTATTATTGTTATTGATTTCAGAGAGGACGGAAGAGAGAGAGAGAGAGAGAGAGAGAGAGAGAGAGAGAGAAACATCAATGATGAGAGAGAATCACTGATTGGCTGCCTCCTGCATGCCCCCACTGGAGATCGGGCTCACAACCTGTGCTTTGACCAAGAATCAAACCATGACTTCCTGGTTCATAGGTCGACGCTCAACCACTGAGCCACAGCGGCTGGGCGCCTGTTGGCTTTTAAGAAGGGAATCAGAGCAGTTCCCAGCTACAGTGCCAGGGGCTACAGCTCACAGACTATTAAAAGATCCACTTTTGTGCTCTCTTTGAGCACATGACTAAACCTTCTATGTCCTAAGACTGACTTAAGAGATATTTTACTGGTAAACAGAGAATCATGAAAACCGCAGAACAGTTAGATCGGTAGAGATGGTTTGTGTGCCCCACAGCCAAGAGGGGTCAGCACCTAGGAAGAAGGCTGTCCAAGCCAACCATCTAGGAAGCTTTTAAAACAGTTCTTTCCTTCAATACACCTTCCCAAGCACAGTGTGCAGCTACATCCACTCCACCCAGGGTGCTTCTGATCGGCAATCACAGAACCTCTGCTCCATGAATGAGCGGCGTGAAAGATAAAAGCTACCATAAGTTCAGAAAATAAATGTCAGCTCTATGTGGCACCATGGTTTAGTTGGAGATGATAGCACAGCAAGCAGTTACTCATGGAGACTTGGGCAACATGCTTTCATTGATAGTGGCTTCTCTAAGGGCAGCATGATGACGAGCTACTGATGACCCTTTAGTACACCCAGGGCCATGGTATGTGCGTGGAAATAGGCAGCTACTAATTTGTAATATGCTGCTTGGCGGCATCATCCTCAAAATGATTATCCCCCAATGTTAACTTTCACTGTCTAAACATTTTTCTTTTTTAAATGTATCTTGATTGACTTCAGAGAGCAAGAGAGCAATAGAAACATCAGTGACGATGATGATGGGCTGCCTCCTGCACAACCCCAACTGGGGATGGAGCCTGCAACCCCAGGCATGTACACTGACCAGGAATCGAACCGTGATCTCCTGGTTCATACAGAGGTTGACCGACGCTCAACCACTGAGCCATGTGGGCCGGGCTGTCTGAACATTTTTCAAACGAAGCTTTGATGTAACACCCTGATACACTTATTGTTTTGAAATCCTTATCTTGAACTTTTCTGATAAGCTCAGAATTTGTTCTCTAGACTGCCATATTCCTAACACACATTTTATATCCTTCTGACACACTGCTTCTGCATTTTGACTGTTACCTAAAATCCACTAAAATATCTTAGAATAGCTTATGCTTTGTCTTTGGGGATACAGGTGAGCAGCTTTATCCTGCTTTTATTTCCCTATTGATACAGCCTGTCTGATGGCCATTCCACCTTCCCCGCTGGGCACGAGGCGGCCTGTCCCGCAGAGAGGAGGTCATGCTGACTCCCAAGGAGCTCTCCTTGAGCTTCATTCCCACCAGCAGTGACTGTTCACTCTGCTGTGCTCTCCTGGTACTTGTTACCCTCACTCTGTTGGGTTCCACCCCACCCCCATATGGCCATTAGCCTCTGGGAGCCAGGGACCTTGCCTGCTTATCTTTTGATAAATATTTATTTTAATTAAAATACTTTATAACTCTAGCTTGGTAAAAAAAAAATGTTATGTTTGATACATAGATATTTGAATATTTAAACACCTAATGTAAAATGCTCTTAAAGCTTTTTCTAAATACAAAAAGTAAGGATGTGATAAGTACCTTTTATTGCTGTTTGTATGGGTGCTTTATATTTTACTAGAGGCCCAGTGCACTAAATTCGTGCACGGGTAGAGTCCCTAGGCCTGGCCAGCAATCAGGGCCCATCTGTGGGGTAACTGGGGCCCCCACTCGCACCTGCCTTGGCCTGGCACCACCCGCTCACCTGCTCCACCATCCTGCTGCAGTCCCGGACCCATCGGGGCAGGCAGCGCCTCCACTGCCGCCTGCTGCCAGCACTGCATCACCAATGCCCGCCATGTTCTGCACCACCCCCTGGTGGTCAGCGCATGTCTCCCGGTTGGTCAAATTCCTGCCCGTGGGAACAATTTGCATATTAGCCTTTTATTATATAGGAAGAGATGACTTTTAAAAATATATATTTTATTTTTGATAGTACTATAGATATCTCCCATTTTCCTCCCCTTTCCCCCCCAGAGATGACTTTTAAAAATCTGTTTATAAAAAGACAAGTACTCAATTAGTTATGTCTTTGGTAGTTCAAAGACCAAGGTGATCAATATATGCCAAAATTGTATTTGGTTAAATTCAAGACATATTCCTGATTTATAAAAACTACTTTTAAAGTTAGGTCTATAAAGCAAGTTCCTGCACTTGCTTATGAATATCAACCTCAGATTGACTGACTGAGTACTCTAACATGTAGTATTGCACTGCATGTTAGAGTGAAACACTAGGGGCATGCCATTAACAGGAATTTTATGGATATAGGTTTTTAGCAACTCTTGTACATTTTTTAGTAAGTTTTAGTAACTGTAGTCATAGTATAAAATGTAGATAAGAAGTTAAACTGGTAGAAAGTAGACAAAATTACCAATATTGAGGAGCATATAATGATGCTCTATTTTTTTTTTTACTACTGGCTTTTTAAAAAAAATACATTTTTATTGATTTCAGAGAGGAAGGGAGAGAGCTAGAGAGATAGAAACATCAATGATGAGAGAGAATCATTGATTGGCTGCCTCCTGCATGTCCCCCACTGGGGGGATCGAGCCCACAACCTGGGCATGTGCCCTTGGCCAGAATTGAACCTGTGACCCATTAGTTTGCAGGCCGACGCTCTATCCACTGAACCAAACCAGCTAAGGCAATGTTCTATTTTTTAAAATGCAAGACAGTTAACTAAAAAGTCTTACATTTAATAGATTTTTTATGTACTAGAAATAACCAGCTAGAAAATATGTGTGTGGGGGGTGGGGGGGGGGGGGGGCATAACAGGTTCTGTTCATAATAATCATAAAAATATAAAATACCTAGAAATAACCTTACTAAGAAATATATAAAGCCTAAATGAAGAAATTATTCCATTTTATTAAGATTTGAATAGAGACATGCCATGATCCTGAATGGGTAGAATGAATGCTCACCTGGCTTATAGGGCCCTACTCTCTGTGCCCTCACTCTGTGCTCTTCCTTGGTATCGGCAAAGCTTGCTCTTTTACTTCCTTTATGTCTTTGCTCAAGTGTCACCTGCTTAATTAATCCTTACCTGACCACTCTATTTTAAACTAGAGGCCCGGTGCATGGATTTGTGCACAGGTGGGGTCCCTAGGCCTGGCCGGCGATCAGGGCTGATCAAGGCCAGGCCGATCGGGGCCTGCCGGCCAGGGGGCGGGACAGGGGGAAAGAGCATGGGCCGGCCTGATTGGGGCCTGCCAGCTGGGGCCTGCCAGCCAGGGGGAGGGACAGGGCGAGGGAGGTTGGCTCCCAGCCCCTGTCCCCCGGGAAAGGGATCCACTGCCACCCAACTGTAGTTCTTCATCCCACTCCAGGGCTAAAGATGATGGTCAGGCACAGAAGGAACAGACACCAGCCACCGACGCCTACAGCTGGCCATGGGAAGTTTGCTGTGGGAGCGCACTGACCACCAGGGGGCAGCTCCTATGTTGAGCGTCTGCCCCCTGATGGTCAGTGCACATCATAGCGACTGGTTGACTGGTCATTCTGGTCATTTGGTCCCAACGGCTTTAATATAAATAGAAGATTGTATCCCTTTAGCCCTCTGTCCTGACCTTACCCATCCCTGCTTCATTTTTCTCCATAGTTCTTATTACCCTCTGACATCCTATTTACTTCTTCACTTTGTTTATTGTCCTTCTCCTTCCTCATCCAAGTGCTTCCTCACAGTCCATGAAGACCACTTCTGTAACCCCAGGAGTTAGAACCTTGGTTGGCACATAGTAGATGATCAATAAATATTTGTTGAAAAAATGAATCAATGTATTATATTTTCATTATTATAGTTAAAGGGACCAAAATTAGTTTTCAAACAAGAAAACATTTGTCAATAAACATACAAAAAAGTGTTCTGCTTCACAAGTAACCAGAAACATATTAATTGAAGTGACAATGTGATGCCATTTTTCAACTACTACATTGCAAAGGTTACAAAATGAAAGTATTCAATAAAGATTTTTAAAGTATTTAAAAAATAACAAATAAATTTTTAAAATAATTAATAATAAACAAAATGAAAGTACTTAATATTGATGAGAGTATGATTAAATGCACTTTCATATTCTGATGGGAATGTAAATTATTTTATTATTTTCTAGAAAACAAATTGACAAAGTGTTTTCAGAGCCTTAAAATGCTGGAGTTTTTTGAGGTATTAATTCTACAACTGGGAAATCATCAGAGATATAAGAAATATTTATGCACAGATGTTTATCACAGATATAATGCAACCCACATAGTGTAATTTTAAGCTTTCTAGTGGCATCATTAAAAAAAAGAAACAGTTTTAATAAATAGTGTAATAATTCAAAATATTATTTCAACAATATAAAATTATTAATATCTTTTTTATAAAGACAATAGACAGGCTCACTTAAGCTAAAGATTGACCTTTGTCAAGGACGCTACAGGCCTGCTTTTAGTTAGGAATTTTTATGTTCAAACCATCCTATGTAGTTTCTTTCAGTCTATGATTTTTTAAGGCCCACCATGCAGGCCTCCCTGATCTTGTCAGATTTAGT